CTCTCCTCTGAACATTTTTATTTCCTCCCTTCTCCGATTGTTTAGTTCCTTCTGCTTATTATTTTATGTTGTAACTACATTATTTAAATCTGTAATGCATTTCATAATACAGATTGCATTAAAAGCACTATACAAAATAAAGATGGTGTATTACAGCCAATCTATCTGAATGATTGCTCCATTTCTCTTTTTATTCACCTTTCTCATTTCCTCCAATCGGTTTCATTCCGTTATTTTTACCAAAAAAAAAAAAAAAAAACCGTTAAGATATGTGAGAGACAAGGTGGGCGAGGTTATATCAGATCTGAAGAAGACCTCTTTGTAGCTCGAAAGCTTATCTCATCAAGAGAAGTTGGTCCACTAAAAGATATTGCACCACCCTTATCCCTCATACCCTGAGACCAACACAGCTGCACCAGTGCTGCAAACAGTAGGAAATGCATTCAAAGACAGGGTTCATTTCCTAAAGGGACAGGTTCTCTTTTTCTTAGAGAAGAAGGATGGTCTTGTGATTAAGATACTGGACTGAGCCTCGGGTATGTGAGTTCAATTCCTCGTTCTGCCACGGCAAGTAACTTAATTTCTCTGTGCTTCAGTTCCTCATCTGTAAAATGGGGATAACGATACTTCCCATTTTTGTAGTCTGTAAAGATCTTTGAGACAGGGACTGTCTTTGACTATGTGTCTATTCTATGCCTAACACAATGGGGCTTTTAGGTACTACTGTAATACAAATAAAATAATAACAATCCCTCAATCCTGGAGCAGAATTTGCAGTGAAGTCAATGAAAATTCCACATGTGGAATGATAGTGGGATATGGCTCCAAATGAATGTTTGCTGAAGTCTTTTTCCAGTGTTCCTTCCCTACAGCTGCTAACTCAATTGCAGTATCTGTGTTCAATTGCACAGCCCAGCCCCATGCTTCCCTCTTGGATTCATTCCAGCACAGATGTACACAATTGTTCAGAGGTCCCAATGCTGAACCTAGGAACTGCAGCCCATGAACTAGACCATTTAATTACTCAAGATATTGCTCAAGCCAGGATGCAGAATTTCATCTGTTAAAAGCCAGAGTATGCAAAAAGCCTTCTGTCTCATTACTCCCCCAAACAGTTAAATAAGTACTCAAAAGGGAAAAAATAAGCGCTGCAGAGAGAAAAGCAGATCTGGATGAGTAATTTGTAAGGGATTGCTTATTCAATTAATTATGCCTCTTTTTTTTAACTGTTCACCGAGTGAACAGATTGGGAGCTTCAACAAATTTGCTATTTAAAATTGTTGACCAAATAATCCCTTGGTTTGCAGCTTGCTTCTGAGTGTTCAGTATTTGAAATGGAAGTGGTTTTGATTAGACATGTGGTACTATGAATATTTGTATTACAGGCGCACGCAGAGGCTCGAGCCAGGATCAAGACGCCATTGTCTTGAGTGCTGTACAAATGAAGTCCCTGCCCCAAGTAGCTTGTGGGCCTGGTACCAGTATATTCTGTTCCATGGCTGGATGCGATTGGCTCCAGCGTGATTACATACTTGAAATCCACTCTCTTCCAGTATGCCCTTAAAAATTGCTCTGTCAAGGAACATTCCCATCGGTAAACACGTTCATTAGGGGTGGAATTCATCCCTGTACAGAAGGTCAACACAAGGCTCAAAGCACCACTTGAATCCTCCTTAAGTCCCACTAAAGCCCAAAGAGCTTAAGTGATGCACAGACCTTGTGCTGTTCCTGCGGACAAGGATGAATTTCAGCCTAGACTATTTGCAAAAAGCTAGCGCGATGGGGGCACACACATGGGGGAAGTGAATTTATTTCAGGCTCCAATTATTTTTTTTTTTTTCAGTATTCTCCCAGCGTTAGCGCAAACCCTGGAGGGATAGGAGCCTCTTTACTGAAATGCTGCTATGTTGCTCTGTCTGTTACTAGGCAAACATGTTTTAACAGCACAGAAAACACGTTTGGAACACAGGAGAGGATTTCACTATGTAGAAATTGGACTGAGTCCCTCTAATTTGAGGCTCATCGTGAAGTAATAAATACCCATACTCTAACTCCTGCTGGTACTCCATAGCTACCGCGGGCCAAAACAAAACAACAACCTCTTGGTTCTGCTGAGGTGGGGGACAGGAAGTGGTGTAGCTTTCTATGTTGCCTCCTCTTTGGCCCCCTGGATGATTCAGTGCTGAGCTCAACCCGGTGTTCTCCATGGGAACGTGGGGTCGTGTACGGTAGGGGAAGTGGCAGAGTTGATCTAGTGGGATGGAAGCCTCGTGGATCCATTGTGAACCTCCTGAATACACCAGTCGCCCATGGAACTCATTCCCACTCGGTGTCCCGCTCTGTTCTCCTACAGTGAGGGCTGAGCCACATATAGGGAATGTCTACACTATCGAGCTGGGTGCCCCCAGCATGGGCCTATTGTCTCCGATGGGCACATACTCAAGGTGGCTAGTCACACCTGCCGCTTGTATCCCCACAGCTGCACTCAGTAGGGTGTTAGCTCAACCAGAGCTGGCTAGTGAGGATATGTCTCCTCGAGCTGGGAATTGCAGCCCCAGCTCGAAGTGCAGACCTACCTATACAAGCTGATGAGCCTGCTACAGCTTTGACTAAATGCTTGGCAGCAGAGGTCCATGCTTTTAGAACCAGCGGTCCCAAGTACAATCGGTCGACTGACCTACCCAGAGCCACGGCAATTATATTAAGCCTTATATATTTTTATTGTGTTCGTCATTTATAATGTGGTATAGAATCATAGACTTTAAGGTCAGAAGGGACCATTATGATCGTCTAGTCTGACGACCTGCACAACGCAGGCCACAGAATCTCACCCACCCACTCCTGTAACAACCCCCTAACCTATGTCTGAGCTATTGAAGTCCTAGAAACTTGAATATGAAAATCTCAGCCTTAGTCTCCTCCCTTTGCACAGAAATGCGCATTTGGATAAAAGGCTTCTTCTGGGAAGCAGCAATCTTGTGGGAATCACCCCGACAACGTGCTCTGTACTGCTTAGAAACCCTGCACTTTTGGGATCCTGACCACTGACCTGTGGATTATTCCAGAATAGCCCACCACGGGCAGCAGCAATTACCAGTCTGCTTTTATTTTTGTTTTGCTTCTTACTGACATTTTAATAACCATTTAATTGCAACATTATCAGCAGACTGGGATACAGTGCCAAGAGCTATGTTATACACTGAGTCATCCAATTCCAGCACAAAGTTTATCAGTTAAATATACTATTATGGTATCCTGTTGTATGTAAAGAACTAGCTGGTTTCCACCACCCCCCCCCGAGTCCAAATACTTTATGATGCTTAACCTTTAAGTTCGGGGGTATTTTTGCTACCTGTTCTTTGTATTTAACTCTCCCAGCTGGTCTATCTAGGCTTTGGTTTCATTTTTATGTACTGCAACTATGAAGCAAGCTTTCATTAAGCAAGGATGTGAACTGCATGGTAACCAGGTACTCAGCCGAAGGTAAAATAGCTGGCTGTCAAACTAGACATCACTGTCATAGAGGTAATAATTGTTTTTATCTTTCATATCAAGCATTTCTTTCCCCCATCTAGGCTGAGTAATATGCTAGTGCATTTCCATCCAATCTGGGTGCATTAAGTCATTGCTTCCTCAATATGCCAATCTGCAAGCATCCTGTTTCAATGCTACATCCCACTTTCTATATATGGCTATAGATCATTGACACACATATAGAGCATAAGTAGGACAACTGGAAAACGCACATTGGATTTTGAGTGTGTGTATGTTCTAGTGAAAGCCATGGTGGCCATATGAATCCATAGATGATGTCTGTCCTCAAAATCATGTGTATCTGTGTACCTATAAAAACCTCTACAGAAAATAGTCGGAAGCCAGCGGAGTTCTGATATCTCAACTACAAAAGGCAAATCTAGGCAGATCAAGCAATCGTCCACATTCCCCTAGTCTGTTTTACAGCCTAAAGTACCCCACTCAGTAGCCATCATTTTAACAAGGGGGCTGGGGAAGGTCAGTATTACATTATATTCAGGTTGCTGCCTAATGACTTTTAAGCGCAGCAAAGAAATGTTACAACAGATTACTGCTAAATTGTGCAAGAAAAACACAGGACGTTGGATTCCAAAGGTTTGGGGGGTTGAACACTGCTTCCATTGAGTTCACCGGCATGTAGATTACAGAAATGAGCTCAGCTGATTGAACTGAGCTCAAATAACTGCCGAGGAATCACCATTGTCAAAATAATGGCTCAGGCATGTGGTTTCTAATTGCACAGTGCTGAAGTCCAGTTTCCTGTCTCGCTGGCCATCCAAAACTTCCGAAGCAATTTCTCACCACGATAGGGCTACAGGCCAGTGTGTGTAGCTCGGCGCATCCATTCAGCAGCCAGGCCTGGCACTGTTTTCACAGCCCTGTGAATAAGCTTGTTTTTTTTCCGTTGCACCACAGCCCCGTTGCACCCGAATAACAGTCGCCGTAAAATAACAACGCAATGGATGCTACTTTCTCCACCTGCCTTCCCGAGCCCCAGTTCGCGTCCCTGGCCATGAATATGCAATACACGCGCGCCACTCCCACCTCGCTGCAAATTGACACCCCAGCCTGCAAACCACTGCAGTGGATGGGCTCTGCCTCTGCAGTTCAGCAGCTCGGAGCGGAGCCTCTCCTCGAAAGCCAACCCCCCCCCCCCCCCCCCCCAACCCCCCCCCCCCCCCCGGTTCCTAAACAAACCCATCCTCCGACAAATGAAATCGGCCAAGGCCATTTGGAGCGAGGCGCACCTGCATTACCTAGCGATAGGCACCCAGCACAGGCAGCGGCGCATCGCATCACGTTCTCCTGCATAGCCACCAGATAGACACACGCCTTCCATCCTGGATCAACATGCAAACCAGAAATTGCAACCCCCCCCCCCCCCACTTTTAACCAGCTAGCCTTTATCACAGACAAGGGAGGGGGCTCAAAGGAGGGAGGGGGGAAGTAAAGATGTCCCAACTTACGCCCTGGCTTTGGGAAATCCCATTGATAAAAGGATATCCAGAGACGACCCGTGTTTGATTGTCCCCGTTCGGTGCTGTCTGTTTCTTCTGGGGGTGACTTTGCTGTAGAGATCGTCTTTGGCAGCCATGGTGTGTGGTGTGGAGTTGTTGTACTGGGCCATCATTCAGCCATCGCAAGACACACAAAACAACACACCGGAAAGAAAGAAAGAAAAAAAAAAGAGAGAGAAAGAGAGACAGCTGATCCACACACCGAGCAAGGCAAGCGGCTGCTGTTGTATTGCTGTGTGTCTCTCTGTCTCAGCAGCTGAGCGTGGAAACATACAGCACAGCTTCCTGGTGTAAAGCAACCCCCCCCCCCTTTCCCACCCCAGCTCTCACAAAGTCATCGCTGGTGCTGGACTAGCTCCCCAGTTTAAAAGTCTCTTTCCCACTCTGTGACACACATGTGCAGCAAATGAAAGCCATGCAATCGCACTTCCTCCTCTTGAAAAGTCAGGAATTTGCCATGAGTAATTTCTGAATGGATCAGAAAGGCAAAAAGAAGCCCTTGTGGGCAGGCTTTGCCTTTTCCTCTCCTGGAAACCCTCCCCTCTCTTAAAGCGGCAGTGGATTTTATACCAGGCAGCAGACATTTAACCGGTGTGCGTGGCTGAATGCTTTGAACAAGCACGGCTGTTTTTGACCCAAACCCAGTATGCCAGTTTGTGGGGCTGCTTTTGTGAACCTAAAAAGCCAGTTCCTCAAAATATCCCTACATGGTTGGTTGTTTGCACTGGACAGCTACACTCAAGTGTGTCAACTCCCAGTACTTTTCCCTGCTTTTTGATCTAAGCATGAAATTGCAAAAATAAAGTTTTGTCATGGGATATTTGTTTGGAAAAACTGAACATCTAAATTACAACACTGGCTTCTTGTTATTGTAGCAAATCCGTGGCCATTTTAGGGCTTGCTGTTGTCATTTTAAGGCTGCATATTAGGAGATTCCCAGCATTCCCAGACAGACTTCAGCTCCTCCTGCTCTTGAAGCACAATACCTACAGCCTGAACATCTCAGTCTGCTCCTAACACTATAGCGTATATGACCCTCAGTTGTGCATTTCTGATTCCAGCCAAGAGGGGGCAGTGATCCACATGCAAACTAGCCAATTCATCGCCATATTAAACCCAGCGATTGCTGGACCTAATCAAAATGAAGATTTTAATAATTATTTTATTTTAAGAAGCATGGGAAGTTATCACATATGTTGCATGGCTTGGACTTGAATTATGCAGAAATGCCTATCACCTTCCACATAAATAAGTGGAATGGGTCAGGGTAGACAGGAATGTGCACTTTGTCATCATAAGCCTCTTTGGGGCTCTGCCTAAGACTATTGGATGAGCAAGGCTTTGCTGTGGTAGCCATGACAGTAGACAACTTGTAGGCAGTGGTTAAAGCAGATTGAAACAAGAGTGGGAAGCTCTCATCACACTGGCCAATGAGCAGAGGGAGCTACTGGGGGAAGTGGGATGCTTACTCAAGCCAGACCGAGCAGAGTAAACTCCCCCTTGGCTTTAGAATTGGAATGGGGGAGCTTTACTCTTCTTCTAAACTTCTCCCTGTAGGTGAGAAACATAAGAACGGCCATACTAGGTCAGACCAATGGTCCATCTAGCCTAGTATCTTGTCTTCTGTCAGTGGCTAATGCCAGATGCTTCAGAGGGAATGAACAGGATAGGGCAATTATCAAAGTGATCCATCCCCTTATTTTAACTCCTGTTTGTAACCCTTGGATCATCCTGCACAGCCTACCGTTCCTTGCTTGTCAAATACTGCCCGATGGCACGTCTGTTCTGCATGGGTTTGCCTCTTTCCTTTAATGCCTGCTCCTGTATAGGACTCTTTCCTTCTCTTCCAACCCCCCCCCCTTTTTTTTTGTCTTTAACAAGGTGGGTGTTTTGCTCTTTAGTGCAGAAGTATTTTTGAAGTTTGTGTGCTATTGTATTTGAGTTCAGGGTATCACACTTTAGGGTGCGTGGGAGGTGGACTAGGGAGATTATTCTCGAGATATCCTATCTATGCAAATCCTCCTTCCTCTCATCTCTCCTTTGTCTCCTTTCCCTCAAATTTTTCCTTATTTCCTCCCCCCTCACACACACACACACACTCTCAAACTTCTCTGTCCCTCTCTCTTCAAACATTTGCCACCCCTTCTTTCCCACCCATAAACAACAAAGGGGCCAGTATTGCCAACCCTTGTGATATATAGTGTTTTTCTTAAAGTCCTAGCTCCTGGAGGGAATCATGTTGTTATGTAAGACTCTCAGCTTTCATTTAAAAATAAGAGTAAGATTTTAGCTCTCCTGGTTGCAGAGAAAAAGCCTGAAAGATTGGCCCCTTAAAGGAGAAGGCAAATAAAAAGAACCCCATACTTATTATTTTTATAAATTTTGTGATTTTGTAAAGCCAATGTCATGGGGGATTTTGAGAGGGGGAATGACTCATGATTTTTAAATGTTTGGGGTTGGCAGGATTGTTCCGAGCATCATTAATAACATTTTCAAAAAGGAATTGAAAAGAAATGTTCTTGTTAATTTCATGTCCCATGCGCAGCTCTTCCAAGTCACAGAATCAGTGAAGTAAGAGATGGAAAATGACCCTTTAGATCCCCCTCCATCTCCTTGCCAAAGCAGGAGAGTTCCCAGCAGTGTGTTTCCCTTAGTGCTTTAGCCAAAGTCAGGGTGAGAGAAAGCAGCATTTTGTGATCAGCCCATCAGCGTTAAACTGGCGTCTGTGTTCTCACAGTGACAGCCGGGCTAAAGTCCCATCAAAATTAAAGCACAAGTCCACAATATACAAAATACCACTTGCTCAACTCAGTATTTGTTCTGAAGTCACTTGGAACCTCTGTGATGTTCCCAAAACAAGGAGGCTGGGCTGATGTAAATCAGGAGGAACTTCCTTCATGCCAGTGAATGAAATCCTGGTCCTGTTGAAATCAATGGGTCCTTGGCCATTGACTTCAATGGGACCAGGATTTTACTCTGCTCTGAGTGAGACAAGAATCAGGCTGCTAGTTTCAGCAGCAGCTTTAATGGCGGAATCACCATTCAAATTAAGGATTATCATCAGTTTTACCGTAGTACCTAGGAGCCCTCGTCATGGACCTGGTCCCCATTGTGCAAGGTGTTGCACAAAGATTCCATTTGTACTAGATCCGTGGTTGTAACAGATGAGATGTAAAAGCCCAAGTTAGCTTCAATCCTTTCTATTACCCAAACTCCCCGACTCCCACAGCGAAATAAATACTGCAAACAGCTGTCTAGAAAAGTCTGATAAGCAAATATAACAAGTGCGAGAGTTGGCGTTAGCCAGCAGAGATCTGCACAGATTATTGTATTTCTTAACTGGATCTGGATATGCTCCAGGTACTGCTTGATTTTCTTTGCTCCAGATGTATTACTTGACCTTGAAATAATAATAATTTGTTATTGCAGTAGCTCCCAGAGGCTTTAACTGGGTCAGGGCCCCATTGTGATAAACACAGCACAAACGTATAGTCAATGACAGACCCTGCACTACAGCATTTATAGTCTAAGGCCTGATCCTGCAATTCACTTCCTGTAGATGGATTGCTGCACCCACACGCATTCCCACTGAAGTCAATAAGGGTAGCACCAATTCAGATATTTCTTGGGGGGTGGAGGGAGAGAGAGAATTCTGGTACCCATCTCCCCTTGGTACTCCCCTGGAACTGCAATCATACCCCATGATTGTAGGATAAACATACTCTGTGAGCTGGTTGAAATTTTTCAAAAACATATTGTTTCATGTTTTCCCCACCCACCCACCCCCAAAATGAAAATATTTTCTGTTTTCTAAATTTTTCAGATACTTTTTTTAATGAAACTTGAAAACAAAAATATTTCCAGTGGTTTGATTTTTCATGTTTTTGGTTTTTCCTTCCCTCTCCTCTCCCCTCCCCTTTCTTCAGTGACAAAACAGAAGAAGGGAAAAGGTAGAAACAACAACTGAAAAGCTGAACATTTTTTGATCCTGACACTTTTATATATATATATAGGTTGGTGGTGAAAAATTCCTAAGCTATGAGAAATCGCACCATTCCAAAACCTGTGAAATTAAAACAATTTCAAAATGTTTGAAAATTTTCACACACACACCCCCTATTTCATTTCTCCACCGGCTCTTTTCTCTATAAGACCTATGCAAGTGCTAACATTATGCAATGAGAGTAATTCTATTGATTTACCACTCACAATGCACATGTGTATGTCTGTGCAGAATATAAGCCGATGCGTGTCCCATGCTAAAATGCTTTTCTACTACCATGTTATAGCAGTGGTCCTCAGTGAATCACAAATATTATCCGTTCGCCTCCTACAGGAAAAGTGCATTAAAGGGGTCTCTTTATATCACTTCCTTCTATAGTGGAAGAAATGCTACAGAACCATTTATATTTTATTTATTTTGGATGGAAGTCCTCTGAAATAGCCACATGAAGTCAGTGGGAGTTTTGCTGTAAACTTCAGTAGGAGCAAGATCATGCTCTTAAAGAATTTAGGTCAAGACTACCCACCTTTCTGCTCTAGTAGAGTGGTTTACTGACTAACAATAGAAATATGGTGAAATAAACACCACAAGAGCAGGAGATATAAAGGGAGCAAGCGGGGGGCAGCGGGGGGGGGGGGGGGGGAAAGAGAGACTGTCTTCCTCTTTCACAACTTCCTCCTCCTAAAAAGGTTCCAGTACTTTCAGAAAAAGCTCATACAAGAGTCCGCTTTTGAATAATAATAATAATTATTATTAGACAGACCAGGTGGGGGAGGTAATATCTTTTATTGGATCAACTTCTGTTGGTGAGAGAGACAAGCTTTTTGCGCTTCCTGGAAGTTTGTCTCTCTAACCCACAGAAGTTGGTCCAATAAAAGATATTACCTCCCCCCATCTTGTCTCTCTAATATCCTGGGACCAACATGGCTAAAACTATTGCAGCCAATAATTATTATTATTTATTTGCATTGCTGCAGCACCTCAGAGCTCCAGTCTTGGACCAGGATCCTGTTGTGCTAAGCACTGCCGAAAACAGAACAAAAAGTTGTTCCCCTCCCCAAAGCTCCTGCAGTCTAAACCGGATCCAAAAAATAGTAAATTCAACAGTAATGTGTAATAAGACGTGTGCTTTT